TCAGGTAATAATATGAACAGATTGAGTGTAAACTAATGACCTATGTACCAATTTTTATTGAAATGTGATTAGAACCAACAAAATATTAATTATTATGTTAATTAGGGAATTAATATGAACAGATTTTAACCCCAAACTAATCAGGTATGTGCATTGTCTAGAGCATATATGTACCAAGTTTCATTGAAATGGAATAATTAGTACTTAGTATATCAGTGTGAAAGCTGAAAATTGACTAATTATGCAAATTATGTAATTAATATGCACGGATATTAACCCAAAAAATATCAGATCTGTGCATTGTTCTATGAAATCTACCTACCAAGTGTTATTGAAATGTGATGATCAGTACTCAAGAAATCAGTGGAAAAGCTGAAAATTTACTAATCATTATGCAAATAACCAAAACTAGCCAAATATGTGCATTAGTCTAGAGCATCTATGTACCAAGTTTCATCAATATCCAATAAGTGGTTCTTTAGATATCAATGGGACAGTGATCAAACAGCTAGAAATTAGCTAATTATCATGCAAATTAGGTAATTAATATGCATGCGTTTTACTAAAATCAAATCTAATCTGATCATTATCCCAAAGCATCTATGCATCAAGATCCATCAAAAACCAACACATGGTTCTTGAGATATCAGTGGAACGTATGGACACACACACAAACACCCACCCACACACATACAGACAGAATAACTGCAAAGACTTCCATTGTGTGCTTTGCATACAGGAGTCAAAAACTGTTTATTGGATTTCAACCAAGTGTGGGCCACAAAGTTGTTAAAGCTAGTTACGTGCTCAGCGATTTACTTATTTTGTTGAACTCTGAACCGTGTTTTTTTGTACCAATAATTACATATATCTTTTATTCACACTGGAGCTTTGTACACATAGTGACAAGAGTCATTGGTAATACCGGTAGTCATGTGTTATACGTTTCATATTAAAATATGTTTTGAAACAGTTTGTCTGTAATTTGTGGATTAGTATACAGTATAAAATTGGGACTTCAAACAATTATTAAAAGGTGGTGGTTGTCACACGGTGTGTGTTCGAATTTCATGTAATTAAACAGATTATTTTACATGTGTTGTATACGTTGCTATAAGTCCCATATCGAACAGGGGGCAATGACCTCCACCCTTTAAAAAATACAAGGATTTTGTCTCTTATTCCTCATTCCTTGTAAATATAGATTGTAGTATTGTTTGAGGAGTTGAAGATTACTGATATATGTCATCTGTTTCATTCCTTCATTATGATTGGTAAAAGTCACAAAATGAAAACAAAAGTTGGGGTCATCGAATTATTATTTGGGAAACAAGAGTCTAAAATTTGCATGTTGAAATTATTTTTTCATATTTCAAAGTTCTGACTCATGCTAAGTTAGTTTAGGGGGAAAAGAAATTGTTTCGTTGAGGGCGCACGTTACGAAAAAATAGATTGAAGGTGCTATTCCTCGCGCTGTTCTGACGATGGATTGAGGTCATCAAGCGAACCTAAACCCCGTCTAAAATAAACATAATTTGGCTAAATCTCCTTCATTTATCTTCTGTCTTAGCTTCCCTTTAAGCAAAATAATCGATTAACATGATAAGCACTGAAAACAGGCAGGCAAAATGGTCTACTTCCGGGCTCCCAGGACCACGTTCTAATAATATTTTTAACTAGGAATAGTGATTTTCAGGAAAATTTAGTGTTCATTTTTAACTAAATGTTCTCAGTAAATAAGCTTCTTCTTTAAGACATACCTAAAACAAACTTAAACATTTGAAACGAATGAGTGTCAACCTTTTTATAAAAATCACCAAACTAGGGGGTCGGTTCGTAAAGTTTGGTTCGTCTCGTCTTAGTTCGGTTGTTACATTCTGTCGTTGCTCTCCTAAATCAATCTAGTCACCAACCCAGTGGTTGAGTGCACTGACCTGTCGTCCACCTGGTCATCAACCCAACCGCTCCCGTCAACCAAGTAGTCAACCGTCTCGTCCTCAATCTAGTGTGCTATATATCGTGTCACCATGAGATTACTACCGTCTCTCGTCTAATCATGCGAAATGGAGTGCGCCCGCAACGTCTGAATGAAATACAATTTGAGCAGCAATCTCTTCTTGACGCATTCGCTGGTTCCCGGCGTCCTTTGCGAATGACAGGTAGGACGCAGGTAACTGGTAATCGCCATATTGTTTTCCGGCCAGAAGGAACGCGACTGGGTGACGTAATTTGAAAACATTCCAAGTTCCGTTTTGCGTAAACGTGTCTGTAATGCTACAATAAAGCCATGCTCATACATACTGCCTGCTTAGATTTACAGATTTGATATGTTCTGTGCAAATTTATAACAAAAGAAACAATTATTTTTATTCGCCCAACTTTCGAAAGCAAAAGGAAACCCCTGAACGGCCACGAGCGTAAGCGCTGACGTCAGGTAACTAAGGGAAATGGAACAAGCAACGAGAAAGTGATGTACCAATCAGAATGCCAGAACCGTTACTAGTTACCGGCCTCTTGTGGTTTGGTACGCCATGACACTTGAAGGCGGGAACCAGCCAACTTGACGCAATGATCCCGGGACCCGCCGTAGGCGGCAGTATTTTCATTCGAGGTCAATTTTGGATCACCAGGTCATTCCTAAACGCGTAATTAGGACTGAGTCGAGAATCAATTTTGGGTGCCAGAAATCATCCAAAGACGTTTATTTGGGTATAATTTGCGCTGTCAAGACAAAGTTTAGGCTAATAAAATAAGATTGACGACGTTTTCCCATGAGAAAAAAGTGAATT